GACACGCATGCACCAACCAACTCCATTCCGCTTGAAATATGTTACTGAGGGGTTGGGGGACCTCTCCAAGNATTTTTCAAGATTCATTTCTCCCAACTTCCGCTGAACAAAATGGTGGTGCGCAGACACGCATGCACCAACCAACTCCATTCCGCTTGAAATATGTTACTGAGGGGTTGGGGGACCTCTCCAAGAAAAATTGTGACGGTGCACTAATTAGGGTATTTTTAATTAATTTTTTAAGATTCATTTCTCCCAACTTCCGGTGAACAAAATGGTGGTGCACGGACACGCATGCACCAACCGACTCCATTCCGTTTGGAATATGTGCCTAGGGGGTTGGGGGACTCTCCCCAACAAAAATTATCGCGGTGCACTAATTAGGGGATTTTTAATGAATCAAAAACCATTCGATTCTTGGAGGTATTCCGCGTATTTTCCCGGAGTGTGTCCCCATAACTTCTCAATATTTTTTTAGATATAGATTTGCAAAGTGTCGAAGAAAAAAAAAATAAAAGCCATCTGACCTTTTCGTCAAATTCGAAAAGTAACCTTATAAATTTATTAAAAATCGACTAATTAGTTCACCGTCACAATTTTTGGTAGAGAGGGTCCCCCAACCCCTCAGTAACATATTCCAAGCGGAATGGAGTCGGTTGGTGCATGCGTGTCCGTGCACCACCACCGCATTCACCGGAAGTTACACAAAATGAATCTTTAAAAATTAATTAAAAATCCCCTAATTAGCGCACCGCGATAATTTTTGTTGGGGAGGGTCCCCCAACCCCCTAGCTACATATTCCAAACGGAATGGGGTTGGTTGGTGCATGCGTGTCCGTGCATCACCATTTTGTTCACCGGAAGTTGGGAGAAATGAATCTTAAAAAATTAATTAAAAATCCCCTAATCGGCGCACCGCGATAATTTTTTTTGGGGAGGGTCCCCCAACCCCTCAGTAACATATTCCAAGCGGAATGGAGTCGGTTGGTGCATGCGTGTCCGTGCACCACCATTTTGTTCACCGGAAGTTGGGAGAAATGAATCTTAAAAAATTAATTAAAAATCCCCTAATCGGCGCACCGCGATAATTTTTTTTGGGGAGGGTCCCCCAACCCCTCAGTAACATATTCCAAGCGGAATGGAGTCGGTTGGTGCATGCGTGTCCGTGCACCACCATTTTGTTCACCGGAAGTTGGGAGAAATGAATCTTAAAAAATTAATTAAAAATCCCCTAATCGGCGCACCGCGATAATTTTTTTTGGGGAGGGTCCCCCAACCCCTCAGTAACATATTCCAAGTGGAATGGAGTCGGTTGATGCATGCGTGTCCATGCACCCCCATCGCATTCACCGGAAGTTACACAAAATGAATCTTTAGACATTTATAAAAAATACCCTAATTAGTGCACCGTCACAATTTTTGTTGGAGAGGGTCCCCCAACCCCTCAGTAACATATTCCAAGCGGAATGGAGTCGGTTGATGCATGCGTGTCCGTGCACCTCCACCGCATTCACCGGAAGTTACACAAAATGAATCTTGAAAAATTTATTAAAAATCCCCTAATTGGCGCACCGTCACAATTTTTGTTAGGGAGGGTCCCCCAACCCCTCAGTAACATATTCCAAGCGGAATGAAGTCGGTTGGTGCATGCGTGTCCGTGCATCCCCACCGCATTCACCGGAAGTTACACAAAATGAATCTTTAAAAATTAATTAAAAATTCCCTAATTAGCGCACCGCGATAATTTTTGTTGGGGAGGGTCCCCCAACCCCCTAGCTACATATTCCAAACGGAATGGGGTTGGTTGGTGCATGCGTGTCCGTGCATCACCATTTTGTTCACCGGAAGTTGGAAGAAATGAATCGTAAAAAATTAATTAAAAATACCCTAATAGGTGCGCCGCGATCATTTTTGTTGGACAGGGTCCCCTAACCCCCTAGGGACACATTAAAAATAAAATGACATCGATTGGTGTATGCGTTTATTGCATCCCTATTGACCGCGTAAAAACTTATAAAAATAAAAAAACTATCATGAAATTCCTCCTCGAGAAATCATTCCCCACCCTCGTCATACATTAAGAAATAATAATAATAAAAAAGAAATTGTTCGATTGTTTTTTATCATTTAATTTGTCTGGGAGGAGGTTTAAACTCGTGGCTACCGATGTAGCGTTGAGCGAGCGGCTACGGTAGGGGCCGTACAGTCCGCCTCACAAACTGTACCCATCTCCCGCTGAACTGCTCCCGCCAGCTTCAGCCTCATAAAAATGTGTGGAACAATTACGAGCCAGTTTTTTGGAATTCAACTCCTACACAGCTGATTTCGTTTTTTTTTTCATATAAAAAATGCACTATTTGTGTAAAAAAAATACAAAAAAAGCAAATTTAGCCATGTAAGAGGTGAATTTAAAAAAACTAGCTCGTAATTACTATTCCACATATTTTTCTGAAAATTTTGAAAAAAAAAAATCATTCGTAGCTCAAAAATTGAAGGCCCTAGACTGTTTTTAGCATTTGAAGCGTTTCCGGGCAAACGAACAATAAAAAAAATTTTTTTTTGCACTAATTACTCTTTTTTAGACCTATATAATCGATCTTCAAAGTGTGAAAAGTCTCACTCCAATAACCCACGTCATTTAAAACTCACAGGAGTCTCCCCTTAAAAACACTCATGATTCGAATAATTGGTGGTTGGGACTTTACTAAGAATAAAGAATTCGTTTAGGAGAAAAATTCGTAAAATTCAGTACCAAAAATCTACTTATTTTGAGCGAAAAATTTTTTACAGTAAGAATCCTTAGGTTCTTAAAGTGAGAATCTTTGCGTTCTTAATCTAGGAATATTTAACAGAAATAAAATCGTAAAATAGGTGAACCTTAATTCCACATCTATTGAGTTACTATACTTGAGGCAGTTACTATACTTTAAATAACAAAAGCATTAAAAAAATGAGTAGATTAATTTTGGGAAAGAAAAATCATCAGTTCAAGAATGGAAATATTCTTAAATTAAGAACCTAGATGTTCTTGATCTCAATATTATTATTTCACGAACCCAAAACTGGGAATTCCAGCACCCAGATTACTTTCAAATGAGAAAAAATGTATAGTTATTTTACATTTCGAGTAAAAAATTTCAGAGAATTAGAACTTTTTTCTCCGACTTTTAAGGAAAATTTACTTTAATTAATGGAAAATTTAATAATTCATTTTCAGAATTTATTGCTCGTTAGATTTCAGTACCACAGAGTTCTGAAATTCAGAAATTTTTACTGAACACTAGAAAGTTTTTTGCTCTCCGTACACGTCTCATAATGTAAGTATAAGTTCTAGAATAATTTTTTTAAGATAGAATTCCCACTGGAAAAAAAGCTCTCCACAAAAATTTCAATATCTTGGATCAACGCCGAAATGAATTCCAGTAAAATTCACTCAAGAACGGTAAGAAATGCAAACAAGCAGAAATTCTCATTTTTTATTTCCGAATGGAAGCATTGTAATCGTTCAAATTTAAGTTTTGCATTTTTTATATTATATCGACCTATGATGATCCAGAAAGTCCGAAAATGCAATTTTTATGTAAGTATGTATGTGTATGGTAATGTTTTCCTTCAATTCTTCGCTAATAAATCCATAGAATTAAATAATTCCTTTTTCTCAAATGTAGGTATTGCTGAGCCCTATCGATCGCCATAAATTAAAATTTAATTCATCGATTAGTTTCTAAAATTTTTGAATTTTTTCGAAAATCGGTTGTCCCACGATAATTAAAAAAAAAAGTTCTTAATTGATTGAATGATGACTTAAAAAATTTGTTTGGATATTTTTTGACCGAGTTCGAAGATGAAGGCGATACCAATAATCGTTATTTTTATTTATTTGAAAATTCGTAAAAATTTTGTATTTTTGGGAATTCAGAATTGCGGGGATATCTTTGAATATCATGTTCCAAATTAATTCAATCATAGCTTAAAATGTTTGTTTTAATGCCACTAAGTCGAAGTTGACAAATGATTACGGTTGCTATATTGGTTGACTTGATTTTTATGGTTGTTGAAAATTTCCCTGAAAGTAAGCTTTCTGATGGTTTCTTCAAATGTAATGTTTCAAATTCATTCAAGTATGCGTAAATAATTTTTTTCGGTTAACATTTTATCGAAGGGCTGACGGGATGAGCGATAAAACCATAAAAAAGACAATCGGTTGTATAGAAGAAAGGGATAATAAGAATAATGATGACGATAACGTTCAACTAAGTTGAAAATCTGACAAAACTAGTTGAAAAGAAACCTTATTCAATTTAATAGAATGAAATAAACAATGAATTATATATGACATAAGGAAATGATGTGCAAAATAACCATTCAGAACCATATTGCTAATTTATTAGCAAAAATAACTATACTATATGCAATACAAGAGCAATCTCCACTTGTTCTTTCTAAAACACCAATTTCATCCTCAAGAAAATCGAGCTCTCGTAATTCCCCATAAATCAATAATTCCTATCAATTAAACAACAATAAAAATGTAAGAAATATGGCGTCGTTATATTAAATCTCCCGTAAACCTATTCCTCTGCAACGTATCGATCCACCTTGTGATCTGCCGCAGTATAAACGTCCGTAACCCCGTAACAAATCCCCAAAAACCATTACAAACTCATCAATCATGAGGAGCACCAGCACCACAATGCAACTAAATAAAAAATGATTCACGTATTGTTACCAAAAACAGCTTGTGTAGACACAATCAGCAGCTCTAGTGAAGAGTGGCACGAGTGGTTTAGCATTATTGCCAGTTACACGAGGCTCCACAGCCATTCTTTGTTTACAAACTCACACAATGGATCACTGACTTCCGGGTGGCGAGTGATGACAAACCCCACCCCCCGAGTTTATGCAACACTGACATCCAATTTTGGGGTTATTTGTAAGTTTAACTGTGGCTTTACTATCGAGTTATTGGATCCACCTCATGTCACTTCTACCATTATTCATATGTTCAATATCTATTGGTTTTAAGAGTCGTTGTTTGATGCGTTTGGAAGGTGTTGCGTCTAACCCATCCGAAACATTGTTTTGGTACTGGCACAATAGTGGCTCTGCTGTCCTGCTGGAGAGTGGTTGGCGTTGTCGGTTGAGAAATGTTTCTTTCTCTGTCTTCGAGACGAGGGGAATAAGTTTTCTAGGCCAATCCCAACTGCGCATGCGTCCGGAGAGAGACGGTCATTCAGGTGGTGGGGGGAATTGGTGGGAATTTTCCCCCTGATGTAGACACATTGAGTTTCTATTTATTGGGATTATTTATCGAAGGTTGTTAATAAGCAATATCTGACGAGGACTGAGGAGCATGTAAGTAATTAAAACTTTCTCGTGAACGTGGAGGAGCAGAAAATTTAGAGGGTGAAAATTCGACGCCTAATAGAGAAACATTGAATTGTAAATTTAGGGGAAATAGTATTTACGGGGGATTGATAGTAATTGATAATTAAAATAAGGGGTACAGATAGATGAGACGTAGAAATGATCTTTTTTGCTTCCGAATGGAAGCATTGCAATCCTTCGATTTTCACATTCCCTAATTTTAATTGGAAATGATGTAGAACAGTCTGAAACGTAAAAATACGAAGTTTGACGAACATATCTGTATGTGAGCACGTCCACCGTCCCCTTCCCGGTGGTCAATTTTTAGAAAATTGAGTAATTAAGTGGCTAAAGTAATTCCAAAAAATCTGAAATTTCGTCAGATTATAGATCTTAATGAGGACTAACTCTGCGCGAAATTTTAGCTCGGTCGATCTAATAGTTTTTAAGAAAAAGCGATTCGTTTTTAAATCATTTTCCGCAAATATCTTCAAAACTAGTTGACCGATTTCGATTTCTTTGTTGCGATGCCTTCTATCTAAATCAATCAAAACATATATACTCGTTCATGCAAAATTTTTGAGATATTCGCGTTTTTCCGTTTTTTCATAACACTCTAGCTTGTGCAAAAATTGAGATATCGATTTGAAGTTTGGACAGAATCTCCCTCTCGTGGTAACAATGTTTCGTATTGAAGATGGGTTCTATCGCATCAGTAGTTTCAGAGATATTCGAATTTTTCTGAAAATGTTTTACATGGAATATCTTCAAAACTACGCAACCGATTTTACTTTTTCTTTTTTCAACACATTCGTTCCGATGCCTTCTGTCTGCATCAATCAAAACATATCTACCCGTTCATACAGAGCTTTTGAGATATTCGCGTTTTTCTATTTTTTCATAAAAAAAAAACTTTGTAAACACTAGCTTGTGCAAAAATGGAGATATCAACTTGAAATTTAGACAGAAAATATGTAGGGGAGGGTGGGGTAAAATGGACACTTTAGACTTTTTTTTAATTGTTGATAACTCAGAAACAAATTTATCAATTGAGTTCAGGTTAGGCTCGTCACAAAGGGATAGAATTGTCCTTTGTATTGAAAGAAAAATTATTAAATTTCATCGCCATTTCAGCCCCTCATTAACATTTTAAAAAAAGTCAAAAGTGTCCATTTTACCCCAACCTCCCCTATACCCGCTCATACGAAGTATTCAAAACATTTGAATTTTGATAGCACCCATGGAGGTGGCAGTAACTATCTGAAATTTTTGCCCCTAGTTAGTGTTGTGAAGCTCTACACTTTTGTAATATTTCAGACCATTCGGAAGTCCGCCATTTTGATGGCGAAAAAATAAAAAATAAAACATCACTCAGTGACATGCTCACTGTCACATGGCGCATTGTCAAATGCTCGCTGTCTCCTACTTGTTTTTATATTCATAGCATCCTACCCTGTTGATTTATTCGATCTGCTTTAAAAAAAATTACATCATTTTCTGCTCGAAAAAAAGAAATTTTTACATCGTATTTAGATCAATACAGTATCATATAGTACATTCTTCATTTTTAGATAATTTACTTGAGTCTTAAATACTTAGTCCGGTGGAGGCTAAAAAAGCGTCTATAAGTTGCAATGTTTTTCTATTTAGTTAAAAATTAATCTCGTAGGAACTGTCCCGTTTCGGACGATGTATCTTATGTGCGGGACATAGCCAGAGTACGTGATTTAAATCCTCTCCAGGATTGCCACAACTGCAAGCAGCTGATCTAACGATACCCACTCTCTTTAAAGAGCTGGCCAGATTGTAATGGTTGGCTCTGGCTCTGTTCACCCATGAGATAGTCCTCCGCGGGAATTCACTACGCTGGGTAAACCATGGTTTCTTTTTTTTTTCATAGTAGAGTTCGAAATACTCTCTTCCATGTAATACACTCATTTCTTGAACTTTTTCATTGGTACTAGTAAACGATTCTCTCTTAAATCCTTCTTCAGTAAAGTCAGAGAAAGATAGTTTATAATCGGAATTGTATGGTTCATCTGTAGCCTCCCCCGCTAATCGGTCTGCTTCCTCATTTCCAATGATGCCCATGTGAGATAGGGCCCAAGCAATTTTTAGTGATTTTGTTCCATGAACACTAGAAACAATACTTTTATATTTCTTCTGTACATCGAGAATATATTCATTGGCTCTGATATTCATGATGGGTTTGGACACGTAGAAATTCTCTTGAAAGCCCGGAGACGTAGACAAGTAGAAGTGAAATGGGGAAATTGGTAGTTCTCATGGAATTCTACCCTTAATAGAGAAACATCGAGCATTGTATCCATTGGGAACATTATTTATTGAATTTTTTCATAATTGATTATCGATAAATACGGAGAATAGGGGAGAGATGAGAAGTTGAAAGGACCATTGAGTTCTATTCAGACATCGGCATAATCATAATTTTGAATTAAAGTTAAATTTTGAGTAAGTCAATTGCTAATATTACTCACTATTTTTTTATTAACAAAATAACCATCAATTTAAATATTCAAATTCCGAATTACTTTATCAACCAATAATTGAGAAATTAAATTACCAATTATTATATTATTTTTCAAATTTCAATGAAGATAAGTAAATCTTAATTATTGTAAGGTGCAATTACCTGAATGATAATGTCTCATAACATTGTAAAATACAAGCCATTAAATTAAGAATGAGTATTTATTACACGATTTCGGAGCGTAATAAATAATAAAAAGAAATATAAAAAGGAGTGACACATCCGGGGACTAGGAACGAAGATAAAAGAATAACGATATAAAAAGAGGCGATTGTGCATGCACGGACGAAAAAATTTAATAGAAAAACCTATCGAATGCGTTAGAAAATTCTATTGAATTTCTATTGAACTGTTCTATTAGTTTTTGGCCGATTCTATAGAAATGTTCAATAGAAAATATTCAGTAGAAAAAGTCAATAGAATTCAGTTTTTCTATACAACTTATGCTATTGAGATATTTTCGATAGAATTTCCTCGGCTCAAATTTTCTAAGTTTTTTCGTTTGATTTTGTTGATGAGAAGAAAATTAAAATAGAATGAAAAAAACTTGGAAAATTTGAGTCGAGCAAATTCTATAGAAAATATAGGAAAAGAATAAGTTATGTAGAAGAATCGAATTCTGTTGACTTTTTCTATTAAAATTTTTCGTGCGTATGAAGGTGGTTGAGAGGGAGGAAAAAATCAAATACGCAACAATATTATTAAATTAATGATTGATGCTAATCTATGGTTGTTTTTCGTATAAAGATTATTCATTGAATATTGTTAATTTTTAACAATCTATGAATGAGGAGATAGGGGATATAGAGAACGAAATCTATCTAGTTGTCAGTAAAGAAAAGTCTGAAATTCAAAACTTCGTCGTACGGAATATATATCGTGCAGAACATTCGGAAAAAAGTGAAATTTTCACTGATTTTGCGAAAATTTTCCAATTCTCAGTAATTTTTACTTCACTCCAGTATTATTGTACTTGAATTCCCGCTGCGCGGGAGGCAAATCTGCCTTTCCGCCTACGCCGTGACGAAAAATAACGTTCTCACCACGGGAGGTAAAATAAAGGACCATTACCCACGTGCTTACCACCCGAGCCGAAGGCGATTCTGCACATCGGCACGACTCCTTTATTTTCCCTCCTTGGTGGGAAATATACTATTATTTTGCATTACAGAATCCGAGTGCACCCGGTGGCTTGGCGCAGTGGGTAAGTTCGTTGCCTCACATGCGAAAGGTTCCGAGTTCAAATCCCGGCGGGGAAGAATGGTGCGATCTAACCATTTTAAAGTCTTGATCATCATCGCAGTATACCCTAACCGGGTCGAAACAATGTAAAATAACGATAAAAAAAAAAGAATCAGAGTGAGAAAAAACTTTGAAAATTGATGCCCGAGCATTCTAATAGAAAAAATCTCAAGAGAAAATTCCAAAAAGAAATTCGAAATCTATTGACTTTTTCTTAGCGAATATCCAATAGAATCAACGCAAAAAACAAATAGAATTTTTCAGTTTAATTCCAATAGAAATTCAATAGAAAAGCCATAGAATTCCAATAGAATTTTCTAGCGAATTCGCTAGGTTTTCTATTGAATTTTTTCATGCGTATTGGTACTGAATTTTGGGGATTTTTCTTCTGATATTAAGTAACCAGTTTTTTATTCTCAATTCAATGCCTCCTAGGAAGGTGAGTTTCTCAGAATCAGTAAGTTGGTTCTGGAAACTAGAAATCCCTTTCCTTCTCTGTAGGAAAGGGATGGAAATTTCTACTCGGAAATGCTGTCTGACTACCTTATCTACTTAACTCTCCTCGATGCCACTGAAATAACTCTTGCAACTTTGGAGTAAAAGAAGTCCTCGAGCTATGTTATTCAGTAGAAATTCCACTGCGTTACCAATGAAACACATTATATCGATGCAATATTACCCGAAATATCTTTTTTTTTCTCTTTACGACTCCATTGGTTATGAATTTGTAACGTGCTTCTTAACAACTATTGGGGAATTATGATGATCCTGAAATGATGGAAACTCCGGTCTGGACTATCCATTCTTTTCAGTAAAGATTTTCTGGTTATTCCTATTGAGAATAATCCCGGTTTTCCTCCTACCTCATCCAATTCCTACCCAATAATTTCCTATGACGTCACAAAGGTGGGGAATGCTATATAAATTCCCTTCTTGAATGTAAAAATAAGATTTTTCGTGAGAAGACCCGGTAAACCGCGATTCTAACCTCGCTTCGCTCGGTTTGATCGCGGTTTACGGGCCTTCTGACGAAAAATTGCATTCATCACACGGTCCAAAAGTATTTTCTGACGAATGTGATTATAGGCCGAGCCGAAGGCTCGGCCTACAAAGCCACATTCGTCAGAAAATACTTTGTGGACCTTGTGATGAAAATAACTATTTTTCAGGATCAACCACAAAATAATACTTTTAAGGATATTCAAGTACTTTGGCTATTTTTTCTCCAATGAAATGCTTTTATACTCTTGTAGTCGAACATCAGAGCTTTCATTTGAACCCTATTTGACCCTAACTTTCCAGACATTTTACAATGACTCTATTATTTAAAATTTGCAATTTTTAATTTGAATCTCGATATTAAACCGTGACAAAATATTTTTTTCATCTGAAAAAAAATTTAAAAAGTTTACTGTTGGAAAATACTTGGTAAAATAATTTTAAAAATGACAATTTTTTAAAATTTCGAACATCTATGAATGATTTATAAACAATCCATTCCATCCATTCATTAGCGAACAATTGAAGAAAAACTTTGTTACATACGTACACGCATACACACGTACGGACAAAGCCTAAAAATTGCATTTTCGGTCGTTTTGGATCATACTGGGTCGATATAAGACAAAAAATCCAAAACTTAAATTTGAACGATTACAAAGCGTCAGTTCAGAAGCAAAAATAATAATTCTGTGCAAAACATAATTTTAATTGCACTGAATATTCATAATTTTTTTTCAAATTTTTCTCACGCAATTGAATTGACAAATTTGATGATGCAAAATGGGTGAATCTGTAGTGTGGACTGTATCAAACTGTAAAAGATACTTGGATATCCTTAATATTTCTAAAAGGAGTCATGTACTACGCTTTGTTCAAGAGCATGATTATCTTGAGATTCCTGAAGAGTTGGAGGAATCTTTGATTCATTCCTTCATTTTTTTCATCATGAAGAAGCATCATTAAACTAAAATCCCCTTCCACTTATATCCCCTCAAGTCTTACAGTAAAAGAAATCATTATGCTGTGATTTTCAGCAACAATATCTTTGTCTACCCAACAAGATATACTCCAATCCTGTTGCACTTGATCAATTAATAAATCGAACGTTTCAAATTTATTACAAAAATTATTTATTGAATATTTTTGTAATCACTAGATCTGTGCGCGCGCTTATCTTTTTGTTGTGAAAATGAAGAAATCGAATTTATTAAACTTCATCTACTCATAGTTTTATAAATATTGATAATGACTTGAAGAGAATTAAGAAAATGAAGAGTGAAACACCAATGAATCATTTTTAATCTTCGATTACGTCTTTTTTTTCAACTTTTTAAAATAATCTGATTAAAATTTGTAATTGTTGAAAAATGAGGGGAGGGTTATGAATTGATTTCCCAGAAAACTGAAAAAATTTCTTGAATTCTTCGGAAAATTCCAGTTTTCCAGACAACCGTAGCTCTTCAAAGATTTTTCTCGAATTGTTTGAGAAACCGAAGAATTTTCATGAATTTTGTAGAATTTAGGATTTGTATATGAAAATCTGAGAAGCAAGATCATTTTTGCGTATGATAAATATGAAAAAATTAAAATTTGGGAAGTGAAGAATAATTTGTGCGTTAAAAAAATTTAGAAATACTGTTTATTTTCTCATGATCAACAATTAGGCAATTTAAATATGTTTTGATATAAAGATAAATTTCACACATGAAAAAATGAAAAATGACGCAGAAAAAATTTGTGCCATTTGAAGAATTTGAAAATATCGGGGATTTTTTTCAGCGACCACTTCACGTGACTCATTGACCAATCAAAATTGCGGATTAGCGGTCAGGCAGTTTCGAGATATTTCGATAAAATATAAAACAACTTTACGTTTCTTTCATCTTTATTAGTAAAAAATAGGAACAAAATATTATAATAGGAAGGACTGAGGAGATTGTAGCCCTGAGTGTCAGAGGTGGGAGACAACGATTGTAGTGGGGATTGGAAAAAGTGGAGGTAAATTTGAGGACCACAATCTCCTCAGTTCAACCATAAATAGGTTAAGGCAGTGATACAGTACGGAGGTAAATGCAAGGTTGATTCATCTTTTTTGGTTCAGTTTGATCATGAAAATTAGTTGGTGCCTGTCGATCCAAATCCTCCCTCTCCCCTTTCAGTAGAATCCAGAGTTTTGACTTCCATAAGATCGGGGTAAGCGATCTTCTCACAGATGAGCTGAGCCACTCGATCGCCGGGGGAAATCTTGAAGTCTGAATCACTGTGGTTGAACATGACAACTCCAACATTTCCTCTGAAAAAAAAAACCTTCATTTAGTTTAAATTCAAACAGAATAGCAAATTCAATCCAAAACAGAATATAACTGTGATGAGATGAATTGTTTATTCGGTCAATTAATGCGGCCCCGCTAATTTGTTAACTTTATTTCTTCATGATTTAGGGGAGAGTAGGGCAAGATGAAACATGGGGCAAAATGAAATAGTCGAAAAATAACTGTTTAATGCAATTCAAGCAAAAAAAAATTTTTTTATTAACTTTTTTTATTTTTGGAAGTACTGATGAGAATAATAATTTCCCGTTCAGTAGAAAATGACAGGAGAAGATGTCAATGGATTAATTGAAAAGAAAATGAAAAATGAAAATAGTAAAATCGAAAGTACACAGCAAGGTCCAGGGGGAGACCCAGAGGGGGGAAAAAAGGAAAATGTAATGCTAAATTTCAATCGAATTAAAAAAGAAAAATGGAATCGGCCTAATCTAATCAATTGAATTATAAGACGAATAGAAAATTATTATTCTCATCAGTACTTCCAATGATAAACAAAAGTTGATGAAAAAAATTTTTTTTGCTTAAATTGCGTCAGTCGTTTTTCGGCTGTTTCATTTTGCCCCACTCTCCCCTATGTAGATGTAAAACTGGAAAAGTACCGTCAAGGAAATTAATATTCTATCTAGTTTTTTCATCGCCTCCCAATTTGCAAGATTTCCAAAACGGAAAATTAGTCGATTCATTGTGATGATGGGGAACATCAATTTCACTTGAAAATCTGTTTTTAGTAAACATTTCGAAATCTAAGAGAGACAGCGAAATTCTGAGGTCACAACAAATGTTTATATGGAAATTTCGCTATTTCCCTCAACTTCATAGATACTCATCAAATTCCCCCTTCAAGTTAAATTGGCCAGGACCTGCGACTTCGCTCTGGTGGGTATGGAGTACTCCGTACCCGCACTTCCCCTGGGTATGGAATTCCATACGGAAGCAAATGATTTTCCGTAATTATTCGGAGAATTGAAAAAATTTGTTTTCTTCACGAGCTGCTCACTCCCCCCTGCCCCGGGTATTGCCCAGAATATTTCTTCAAATAACAATTCCTGTAGTTCCCTAAAAAGTTCAATGGATTAGAAAAGAAAAAATGATTTTGTTCAAAAGCAGAGAATTCTTGGAAAACCCATTAATTTATTTGAAATTTCTAGAAAATTACAGATTTTTTTCTTTTTTTTTGTAAACTGTACATATTCCTTCAATTCTTTATAAAACCAAAAATTTTCTGGAATTTCGGTCTATCTTCTTCCATGTAACTTTCTGTAATAATTTATAGTTTATGTTAGAACGAGGACTGTAAACCAATGACCAACGAAGTTCTCATTGAAATCCATCCAATCGTTTTTGATTCATTATGTTTAAGCAGAAGACAATTTGGAATAATTTTCTTTTCACAACATTCCAAAATAGGCGAAGCCTAAGGGTCAAGCCTGAGGGTCGTATCTAGTCTCATCGTAGGAGTCATGTTTCTTGAACAATATTCTTCAGTCGTTTTTTAGCTCCTTCAATTTTCCAAATTGGGTTGGTGTTGGGTGTATTTCACTCTACCTCCAAAGATGAACATTCATTCTCAATATTGAGAACATTAGAAACATATTTACTATTATGTTCTCATCCAGATTAAATAAATGATGAATTTATTTTTAACAATAAGGTGACAATGGGTGTATTTGGACTGTTAAGATGAAACAATAAAACCCATATTAAGGGACTTTCATTCTTATTCTTAGATACGCTTATGACCCTCAAGAACTACAAAAATTACGCTCCCCCTCTGGCACCATTTATGATTTATTTTGTTTTCACATGTATATCCTCTCGGGTCTGTACATTTTGTTCCCATCGCTATAATTAACCGCAGGTATATGAATATTGAAAGTTATAAAAACAAAATACATGAATGCCATATGGGGCAGTATAATATACAATACGTTGCCCCTTCCTTCAGCCTATTTCTGCACTAGATCTGGGGATTTTCAAAAAGTTGGTTGAACCGTAGACCCGCAAAGGCACCACCATCGCTGTCAACACGGTTGAGTTTCATTCAATGACATTCAGAATGTACTCCAAGGCCGCACCTTTCCAAAGGATGACTCCAAGTTTTTTCTTCTCTCTCATCTTCCTTTCCTTGGTTGAAGGAGAACGCTCCAAGGCCGCACCCGCCCTAGGACGGCCCCAAGCTCTCCTCCCGCCGCCATCCTCATGTTCCTAGCTGGAGCTCGAACCTCGCCAAAGCGCTGGCATCATTTATCATTTTTCATATTTTCAAACCATTTTATTGGGAATTCATCATTGTTCTAAAAATTAACACAAAATTGATAAATGATCGACTTCTCGTCGTCATTTCACAATTTTACTTATTTTACGTATTGGGAACAGGAAATATCGTTGAGGGCGCTGTTTTTTGCCAATATGGCCGTCAAAGAGGTATACACACACGCGCTCACACAAGCCCCCATTTGCTTGTGTATCGTAGATGTGCACCCTTAACGCAGGCATTCATAGAGGGCGTCTTGTTATTGAGCGTCCCCAATACTTACCACCCGTAAAATTAAAGACAGTGCAACCCATGCTGTTACTAACTGGTCCACGAAAAATCCAAGTGTTCCACCACACAATTTAGTGGATTATCGCTTAATTCTATCATTGAAATAATAAATTAAATCAGTCGTTTATCGGTCCTCATTACGAGTGGTCGAGTCTTAAAGTGAGCTTTTCTCCCCTTTAAGAGAAATCCAAATTTCTTTAAGGCCCGGTTGTACCAACCCCTGTTAAGCGAATTTAACAGCCTGTTAGAAATTTGTGTCCAGTAAATTTATTGGGTTGCGCCAAAAATTTTACTGGTTCAGTATCTCCCTAGTAAACCACCCAGTAAATTTGAGGATATATTATTTATGTACTTGTTACGGTTTGATACGGATCACATTATACACTCAGACATTTTCAATGATTGAATTTTTCAATCAAATTACGTGTGAAAATTGAAAAAAAAATCATGGATATTCAGCTTTATTTCAATTACATTTTGTAAATAATTATTATTCTTTCAAACATTCCCTTCTTGCCAATAAATAATTAAAATTGTTTAAACTTTCAGAAACCTTATTTTTAGGCATGAAATCGATTGATGGTAAAATTCTGAATGTTAATAAATTTGTTAGGATTTCCAAAAAAATCATTGCAGAGTGGAACACTCATAATTTGAATAAATTTTTCATGAAAAATGATCGTAATCTTCAAAAATCGTATGTTTTGAATTATGTTATAGATTTTTCTCCAGAAGTAGACTTTCTGATTTTATCTCAGATTCTTATGCGATAAATTTGAAAAAATTCATGGATATCGAGCTTCATTCAAATTCCATTTTGTAAAGAATTTTTTTATTGTTAACATTTCCTTCTCATAAATAAGTAATTGAAATTGTTTAAACTTTTGGGAATCTTATTTTTTGTGCATGAAAATGATTTCTAGTAAAATTCTGAAAATTCATAAATTTGCTACGATTTCGAAAAAAGTATTTTCAGACCGGAAAACTGATTTTTTATAAATGAATGAATTATATTATATAATAATTATTATCCATAAAAAATGGTCGTAGGGGACCCAGGGTAAAGTGAAACGCCGGGCAAAATGAAACGATAGCAAAAACCGAATGTCTAGCGGAATTCAGATGATTTGTTTTTTTTTCGTATCAACTAGGGGGAGAAGAGGGGTAAAATGGGTTATCAGGATCAACCAGTTTACCAGAGTCCAAAGCTCTTATTTCACAAGGGTCGAACGGAAGGGTAGAATCAAATAGTTATATGGGTCAAACCTTAGAGTCGCCTGAAAGGATCAGAAGGGCCATACAGGAGGGTGAAGGAAGAAAATCTTTCCCGTTTGGACCTTTTAATTGTTTCACTCTTTGACGGGATCTATAACCGTTTTGTTACACTCTTTCGTGTGAAAAATTCATGAAATAATTGACAAATTCATATTTTTATCGTTTTCCATAAATCCTTCAGCAACAATCAATTTTCCACCCTAAAAATCATTTATTCGTAATCGTAACGGCTTTGCCTCCATTTCGAATTTTGCACGGAGAGAAATTCTCTAGAAAAATTCTAGTGCTGACACTGGAAAAAGGGCTCAAAGTAACGGTCAGGGAAAAATTCCAGCACTGGAAATTTTATTTGGTAACACGTGACTTTTTCCCGTATTTATATGAAATTTCCCCCCCCCCCTTAAATAATGAACTCAGAAATCCTAGGACCCCTCTCTGAATGGCTTTCGTAAGAAATGAACAGCCCCGCACTGATTTAAATCCTGATTTTCCACCATTTTTTCACTAAAAAATCCAAACGGCCATTAAATTGAGAAAAAAATACGCTTCCGAATCGAATTTTCTGGGCATTCCTTGCAGTCTTTAATGATTTTCAAATTTATCGTGAGGGTGGGGCTATTTCAATAGACAAACTTGATGATTGAAAATCTCAGAATCTATAGTTTTCAAAAATTTTCAAAAGATCTGTAGAATAACAATTACGAGGTACTTTTTCGAAATTCGACTTCTGAATAACCAATTTCATTCTTTTCACCAATCAATTTCTTCTAAATTTTTTCCTCAAATCCAAAATACTATAATTATTTTCAGGATTATTTTCCTGGCTATCTTGCAGGAAGATTGATTTTTTAAATTAAAAAAATCACGGAATTGACTATTTAGGAGTTGAATTTGAAACAAGTACCTCGTAATTGTTGTTCTACACATATTTGAAAAAATTTTGAGAAAAAAAAGACCCTCGTAGCTCTGAACTTGAGTACACTGGACTATTTTTTTAGATTTCAAGCGCCTGGGGGGCAAACATACAATGAACAATCTTTTTTGCACTGATTCCTCGTTTTTCAAGATATATAATCGATCTTCAATGTACGATAAATCTCACTGCAATATTCCGTGACTTTTAAAACTGATAGTAACCTCCTC